AGAAAGAAGGATCTTTGTGTTTCAAAATAGCTAGAGTTCTTATAGCCTGGGGGATTTTGCTCTTTTTGATGAAATAGCTTAAGAAGATAGATCCTTTTGCATGATATTCTATGCAGTAGGTCAGACAAACAGTATTCATCCCAGGATTTCTTTATCTTTGTTTAACTCTGCTTTAGATGAGTTTAGGGGAGCACAGTACCATCCGTGATAAGGGAAGATGAATAGGGCCCTCTTAAGAAAATGTACCTGTGGGACCAGGTGCATCCAAGTGCACTGAAGGAGTGGGCAACACTGTTTGATAGACAAATCCTTATCTACAAAACACTATTTTTCAACATAATCACCATTAGCAATGCATTTTTGACAGTGATGAGCAAGAGCCTGCAAGCTGTGTTTGTAAAAATCTGCATGGCCATCCAGAAAGTGGTTTGTCTTTCATGTCATTTTTGCCACTGCTGAAATGCACCACCCTCAAACTCATTGCGTTCACATTCACTGTTTTGTCTCTATAAACATTCAGCAAGTGTCAGCGAACGCTAATGGGTGCAATTTTTCCACCCAGAGGAACTCGGTGCCACACCTTTGCTTCAGATGCACTTCCATCTCAGATGCCATTCTGGAGGTCCCTTCCAACCCCTACAATTCTGTGATTCTGTGTGATTCTGTGTGTGATCTGCCACGTGGCAACAAAATGGAATGGAGTATCGGTGGGAAGGTTCAGCTTCTACTGCCATAACACCCCCATCTACTTCTGATGTTGTGAGTCAACATAATAAAACAGGAGGCATTACCTTTGGAGCACCCTTGTAGGAATCAGTCCCCAGGGAAGTTATGATGTAAATTCCACTGAAAGCCATTTCCACCCATACGAAGGACAAGAAGGTGATTTGGAAATGTCATCGTAGATTGAACAAGGGCAAACTGTGTCTTACCAATTTGATTACCTTCTACACTGAAATGACTGGCTGTGCAGGGAAGAGGAGGGCAGTAGATGTTTATCTTTCCTCCACTGATATTTTTGACATGGTCTACTATAAAATTCTCATGGCCAAATTGTGCAGATATATACTGGATGGCTTATAATATGGTACTGGTTTATAACAAGGGTACAAATTGGCTGGAGTGGCAGGCTTAATGAGCAGTGGCCAGTCATCGTGGCATTCCTCGTGTTGAATACTGGAATCAATGTGCTTACAGCCCTCTCTAACAGCCTGCATGACAGAGTGGCAAACACTCTCAGCAGGTGATACTGAGGTGGGGGAACAGTCGATACGCTGTAGGGCAGAGCCGGTGCTCAGAGAAATCGAAACAGGCTGGAAAAGTGAGCTCTCTTCAAGTTTGACAAAGACAAATGCAAGTCCAGCATCTGGTACAGAATAACTTGAATGCAAGAGCACAAGCTTGACACTGTCTAGAAAAAAAAAGCCCTGTGGATGCTGGTGGACAAGTTGAATGCTTCTTCTCCAGATTAGGGGATGGCAATAAAAGAATACAGGAAAATGTTTTATATCAGGCCCAAGTAAAACTATTTTTATGTACCAAATGAGAAACAGAGAACCTAACAGTGCTGTCACTGGCACTTGCAGTTACTTTAAGTCAATTGCATGGTGAGTGATAGAAGGGGAATGATCTCAAGGTAAAGATAAAGGAGCAAAATCATTGGTAGACACCAGGGAAGTCACCAGAGGTAAAATCATCACGTCCACCAAAATGTTCTTTTCTTCTATTCAGCAGCTCAGAACATGCATGCCTCTGAGTAAAATCGGTGTGTAAAAACATACTAAATCAACATAGATGGAACTGCCACATTCTGAAATAACTTTTTACTTTCCTCCTTTTTTATGCTGTGCTGTTCATCTTGAAATAGAAATACTGAAGTTGTTCCAAACATTACACCTGTTGTGAGAACCAGTGCCCATTTTTATGCTTTATGCTTTTCTTCCAGTGTGTAGAAGAGCCAGAAAAGTAAGATGTAGTGACACTAACTCAAAAACTAAAGCAAGAAAGGACATTCATATAATAGCTGTGTTCTGTAACTGTGTTGTGTTCTTTGGCCACAGTATTCTGCTGGGGATTTTCCAGTCAGAAGGATATAAATAGAGGCTGTGTAGCATAAAGACTGCCGATCTGGTACTTCCAGAAAATAGTAGATTTATCATATAGTGTATGTGCAGCATGCCCAAATGCACCTTTGGAGATGAGTCAGCCTTACTAAGTAAGCATCTGCAAAGCCAGCTGTACTGCAAAGGTGTAATGGATCATTTCAGCTCTTCCTGGGAGCACTGGCCATACAGTGGCAGCACGCAGGAACCTTCCAACCTGCATGTGAGTGCTGTGCATCTGTCCTGGTATTCAGGTGTTGGGCAAAGGGATCTGGAACAACTGCTCATGTGCCACAACATCACACTGGAAAGAACGATATCATTTTCCAAAGTGGGACACCTCTTATCCGTTGCTTTCTCTACTGTTTTTTCCTTCTGTTCCTCTTTTCTTTTTTGCATGTGACATGTTAGTATTAACTTGGTTACAGTAGTTCTGTGTCTCAGGATGCATTTTCCTGATTCTTGTAAGAGCAGGACATCAGCATGAAACTGCCAAGTACTGTCTGGTCTCACCATACACTGTCAACATGAGCATAATGATAAAAGCAGCTAATATAGATCTGTGCACTCCTATAATTACAAGGTGTTAGCTATGTCTAAAGTGCAACAGCTGCACTTTAGGCATTATCTGGCTGCTTTTAATCCAGCAACAATATTTGTGGTCCCCCACTGGCCCATGCAATGGATAAGTAACGGATATCCATTCTGTTACATATTCAGGTTCCATGGCCATTTTGCTTTGCTGGGAAGGAGCATCCAGCCCCTATGGATTCACATTACCTTAGGTCTGCTCAATGTGCTGAAATTACACAGCTGATTGCAGCATGGTCTTAGTTGTTTCAGTCTCTTCTGCACTATTTTTATTCCTTTGTGGATGCAGAAAAACAGTTACCAGCATGGAAAATTGTGATGTTATTTTAACAGCTTCAAATGAGGAAGACCACATTTGTCCTTATAACCAAGGGCCTTCTCACTTGGCTGCAGGTTGCAGCCTTGTGTACTGCAGTGCTTGCCTCAACTGTGGGTGTGACAACCATGTGCCAAGCTACTTTTAGCTTGCCCTTTCCAAACCAGCCTCTTTGTATTCTATCCTATTTGTATGTGAGGCAGTGAGAATTAAGCTCTCTCTTCATTTATTTTGCCTTTTCTTTTTGATTGCATTGGCCTCCAGATCTGCTCCATTTGCTTTGGAAAAAAAAAAAAAAAAAAAAAAAAGAAAGAAAGAAAAAAAAAAAGAAAAAGAGTAAGTTCAAACATTCTACAGATCCTTACTTACACAGAAAACATGTACTGTAACAACTGGGGTATCGCTTCCTTCTTTTGCATCTCACATGGTTGACCATCAGCATTGTACAAGGTGTGCTGACAGCTAAAGGCTCAACAAAAGCTTATTCTCCAAATACTTGCTGTTAAGTTAGGTGGTAGAGAGAGCAATAAAAAAATGATGATGGATGGTTAAGTAAATCAATGCTTCTTAACCTAGCACACTATCATTCCCATTCAACCTACAAATGGATAAGCATTCTGGGAGAAAACTGAGAATCTGACCCTGTGTTTGATATTACTTCAATTAATGAAGGTCCTTTGGCTCTCTCCACTTTCCTGCATCCTTTTTTCTTTTTCTTTTTTTTTTTTTTTTTCCAACAGCACAAGCCACACTGAAATAAAGCAGCAAGCTGAGCTTTTTCTTATCCTCATCGAGCAGCGCTTCCCTCTACCAACCAGCTGTCGTGGCCTTAACAGAGCTGGGCAGAAGGAGGAGAACCCTTCGGGCTCTGACCCCTAATAAAACCACCTGCCACCTCCCAGGCTGGCGAGAACGGACTCGCTGGCACGGCTGGGGAAAGTCGGGCTTTTCTCTCCGCCGGAGCCGCCGTAAGTGCCTCCCGACTCCCTCTGGAGGGAGACACAGTCCAGCTTTTGGCTGCCGGCGCCGCCGCCTCACTCCTGCCCCTGCCCCGCTCCTGCCCCGGCCTCAGCCCCGCTCACTCCCAAGGGGGCGCTGCCCGGCCCCGCGTCCCCTGCCCGGCCGTGGCGCGGCGGGGTCCCGGGAGAGCGCGGCACCGCGGGGATCCGCTCCTTTCCGGTGGCCACGTGTGCGCGCGTGTGAAACTTAGCAGCCCCTCGTCCCGCTGTTAAGAGGGGAGGGGACGAGAAAGAAGGAAGAGCCGCGCGTGAGGCGGCGGCTCAGCCCCGCTGTGCGCGGGCACTGGGGAGGCGGCGGGTGACGCTGCGGAGCTCTCCCAGCTCAGACAGCCGCGGGACCGAGCGGGCAGGAGACACACGGAGCAGACGCACGGCCGGGAGGAGACGGGGTCCCCCACCCCCGGCACTGCGCGCTGGGAGCTGCCCGTGCAGCCCCGGGGCTCCTCCGCGCTCCTGCGCGGTGCGGAACCGAGCGCGCAGGCGGCGGCTGCTGCTGCTGCAGGTGAAGCCCTCTCTATCCGTTTACTTTTCCCAAGAGGGAGAAGAAGGCAGCAGGAGGGGGACGCGGCGCCGTGCGGGGCGGGCAGGCCAATCAGCGCCGCTGTAACGCAGGGATCGCTGCAGGACGCGCCGGGTTTTCCTCCCATCTTCTGCCGCCGGGGCTGAATCGGGACCGCACGGACCGGCGGAGCCGCACCGGGCTGCAGGACTTCCTCACCCGCCGCTTCTCCGACAGCGAATTCCTACACTTCTCCTATTTTTTTTTTCCCCCCTCTTTTTAATACTCTGAAATCGTCCACGAGAGACATTTCGTGTCTCCCTTCTTTCCCCACGCACTTAACACCTCCAGCGGCATCACCCCGCAGGATCCCCGCTTTCTCCCGGGGAGGCTGAGCCGAACGGCGAGGAGCCGGGCGCGGAGCCGCTCCATGCCGCGGGCCGTGTGCCGGCGATGCCCGGGCGCTGAGGCCGGAGCTCCCCGTTGACGGGAGGCGGCCGAGCGCGGGGTGCTTCCAGCAGCGCGGAGCGGCCGCAGGTAAGTGGGAACGGAGCGGAGCGGGCGGTGTCCGTGCGCCGGGCCGGGAGGTGCCGCGGAGCCGGGCCGGTCTGCGGGGCGATGCCGGCCTCCCTCCTTCCCTCCCTCCCGGTGTCCGAAAGTTGGGGAGCGTGGCTGGGAAGGAGCCACCTCCGCCGCTCCGCAGGAAAACTGCGAGGTTTTGGTTGTAATTGAAGTTGGTTTTAGTGAGCCAAACAGTTCTGCGGGGCTCAGCCTGGCCGTGTGGGTAGGGAAGGGGCAGCTAACTTCCCTGGGACGCGGGGTTTTGGGCAGCGGACGGCTGCAGGCGGAGGTTGACAACCCTCAATCCGTTTATGAATCGGTTAAAAAAGGGGCTGTCAAGGCATGATTCGTGACTCCGTTTCCTCGTGGTTCCAATGCTCCCCAAGTTGTGTGTAGGCAGGGTATGAAACCTGTCTTGTCCGCCCTGCTTCCCTTCCGTTTCAGTGAACTCGTTTACCACTGTTACAGGCTCTGTATTCCCAGTGAAAAGGCTTTCCCCTTGCTCCATGCCATTCACGGCTCTGCACGGCAAAGTTTTAACGTAACCCGTGTTGTTCCCGCTGAAGTGTACTATTGGACACCCCTAACCTGTGCAAAGAATACGGAGAAATAGCCTACACTGCCCTGCTGGGAGCTGTCAGACATCTCTGCAGCGTGCTTCATTCTTCCCAGGAGTTAAAAATCATTGCTTTGAAGCATTTTAAATTATATGTGTAGTTATAGTTGTCTGTTTCCAGTGTTTGCTCAGAGATAATCAGTATTTTTGCAAAGCCCTGAGCACTTCACTGCTCCCAATCACCCCCGGTCGACTCCGGCTCTGCATTCAAAGAACTGTGCTTCAGCTCCTGGAGAACCCTCAGTCGGAATAATAAACACACTCAACCCCTATCCCTAGAAGCCCCATAAAACGTTCGAGGTCTTGGGGTCTTCTGGCAGCACTGGATGCATTTAAATTACTATTGACTAAATGATAATTGCTATCTGGTTTCTCTGTTTTCACTGAGTAGTTCCAGACATTAGCATTCAGCCCGCTACGTGTTTAATACTTTAAAGCTGCTTTATGGGCTGATCTAAGTGAAGTCCAATTGATAAATTAAGATTATGTTGTGTAGCACAGAGCGCGCACGAAGGAGTAGTTCAGCAGCACAGGGAGCGCAGCTCAGCTGAAGTTGGGAAAGTGCACATGGAGGCATTATTGTCAGGGGTGGCAAAGGTTACATCGGTGGTGCTTTTCCCACAGTAATTGTGCAGTCATTTCATACCGATTCCTCTGTATTATCTTCTGTGTGATGAACAGTAAAGTAATTCATAGGAATTCCATGATTAAAAATTTATTTGGGAGAGCTGACGCTGTTGAGGCGATGTTAAAAGCTGTGTGTTTTTTTTGGTTTCACGGAGTCCCAATTCCCCAAACTACAGTACTGTCGCTGTTATAAATGTAAACTCTCCAAGTGCCGTAATTCTAGAGGAGAGCTTTGCTCAACTAGTTGATTGCAGCTCAGAATTACTATTCAGTGCTTCATATGTTGTTTGTACATAAGGGGATTCTCAAAAACGTGCTATTGATTTTATATATGCTGCTGGTTGTGGCTGACTTTGAGATAAAATCTTGATTCATGTCATGCTGTTATAATCAGAGAACGATGAGTAATGTGGCAGTGTCTTTTATTGTGCTGGATGCATGAGGTAACCTTTTTCCCATCTCTTCCTGTGAGCAGAGGGGTCTCGGCTTTATGTGTAGGTTCTTGCAAAGCACTTGATAATTCCAGTAGGGAATACATGAATAAGTAGTTCTGCATGGAAGTAAATAGATGTGTCTACAGATGGATGTTGGAGATTGCTTTACTGGCAAGTTGCAAAGTGATGATTCATTGAACCCTGTCTAGATTTACATAGAGCAAATAATACTTTACACTGAATTGTGGCAGCAGAAAAACATGTAGCAACCAAGAACTTTCATAATTTCGTGGCAGGTGATGACAGGCTTGATAAAGGACCTCTTTACAAATGCAGGCTATATGTTTCTGGTGAGAGAAACATACTGTGGCATTTTTTTAGATCTGAACATCTTTGCACATAAATTCATTGCTGGCTGGAATTGCTACTCACCAACCTGTGTAAAGTATAAATACTGCATGAGCAGTATGATGCATTAATTATATTGTGTGTTTTACGTACTATTAATAAGTAATTGAAAACTGTGAACTCGTTATCCATGTTAAAGGAAATCACTGACTTTGGAAGACAGAAAAGTCACATTACTGAATACCCATCTACAGAAAAATACAAGCGATCCCCATCTTGAAAAATTACTCCAAATGATGCAGTTCTGCATCCCTCTTTTAACTTCTGCAGCATTTTATTAGAAACGCTTCATTAAGTCACATTATTCTGCAGCTGCTTGTTCTCTGAAAATTAAAATAAAGATCAGGAAGTTTATCTGGGAAAGCAATATTATTTCCTTTATTAAGTACTGAAAGTTCAAAACAACAACAAAAAATCCCTTAACTTCACCGTGTCACAAACATGAGCACTTTCTATTTTTGTGATAAACGGGTGGCATTTGCTGTTGCAATTCATCAGTGTATTTATTAGTCAAATGTCATCAAACAAACAAGATAACTGAGAGCAAACAGACTTCACAATGATACAAAGGCTACAGCAAGTGAAGACTCTACAAATGTAATTAATTAGTGTTCAGTCTCATATTTATGCATCTCATTTGAATGGCATGTTTGTTGTCTTTTTCCTCATTGATTTTCTGCTGTATCTCCAGATAATTCAGGTAGCGAGCACTTTTCATTTGAAAACACATTTTCCATTTTTCCTTTGAGATGCTGTATTTTAAAGGGATCGAGACAAAAGTTATGGTTCGATGAATATAACAGAAGGGTCCTCCCATGTCAGCAGAGCTGAACGCTGATCTGGCCCCATTCGTGACCATTTTTATGTGTTAAGAGGGGCATCCTGAACTGATGTAGACTTCCACTGCTCCACTGAAGTAGTTGAAGTGCTGACATTTTAAACCAGCTGGAGATTTGCACCATTATCTTTAGATCACTGAATTTAAGAGTGCACCTAAAAAGGATTGCAATTGCTTTTTTTTTAGGGTGAGAACACATTTACATACTGTACCGAGCTTCACAAAATCCATTGTAAGTGGATTTGAAATAGTTTTGAAATACCCAAATCCACTTTTGGGGCTATTTTAACAGGAAATTTGGCCCAGTTATTTAGTTTTGCAAGCTGTCAATATATGCTTCAAAACAGTCATCGTAACTAAGTCAGAATTATAAAATTAGATGTGGGAATGAATGTGGAAACAGCAACAGCAACGTCATTCAGTGTTGAGTGCAATCTCCTTTTGCTCCTAGTAGAACTTGGAAAGGTAGTGATTTCTGTGCTTTGATTCTCTATATGCCCTTGCAGCCATTTGTAGTTACCATAGACAGTCAGTTATTTATCAGAAGAGGAGACAAAATAATAATGGCCACCTAATGTACTTTTTCTTACTGCGATTGGAAAACAGTCGCATTTTTAAGATAAACAATTCGAGTCATTTTTATAGAGCTTCTTTCATGCAGCGTGTTTTGAAAAACACTTTTGAAGAAGAAAGAAAAAATAGACATAATGCTTTACAGTAGTAGTTATGGTAGAACACCATATACTTAGAAAAAAATGGGAAAAGTCATGTAAAAAAAAAAAAAAGAAGTTTTCTTAGCTTTTTCTTGTGTTTCCTGTGTTAGAACACTGATTTGTGGGAAGCATTGTAGCAGTAGCTATTGCTTGATGTAGCACTAGAAAATGTTTTCTATAGATTTGATCCCTCCCCCTTGCAGAATGGAAGCAATTGCATATATAAGTGCTTGCACAAAAATTAGGAAGTTATGTTTGTCTCTTCTTTAAAGCTCATCCAACCTCGCAACCTGTACTATGCTAATGGCTTACACATTCAAGCAGCCCTACTTCACATCTTGCTGATCTTGTAATAGGAAACCTGAACACAGGTCTCACAGCACCAGGACAGCACTGTACACAGCCTCCTGTACTACAAGCATCTGAGCATCTCTCTAACAATGCCAAAGGGAGAGGCACAGGACAGGGCAGTGTGCAGATGAAATCAGGTAGAGTTCTTTTTAGACTGTGAGTTTTTGGGTAATCTTCTACACTTAAATCGTGCCTTGGAACTGAGGTGGTGTTAGGTGCTTTAGACTGCCAAACTTTGCAAAAGAATAAATGCACAAGCACAGGTCAACAAACCTACTCAGTTGTATAAATAACAAAACAATTAAGAAATGGGCTACTTCGTATGAAATATTTTTGAAATAAATAACCCTATATTTATTTTTGGTAGCTTGCTGGTCTCTTGCTTCCTAAAAGATTTCTTGCCTCTCATTGTTGCAATAAGCTTTAAACATCCGCTATTTGAAGATGAGGCACTGGACTAGATGGACCACTGGCTTGATCTGATAAAGCAATTAACTTTTTGAAATGCAAGGAGGCGTAATTGCAGCACTGTATATTTTAACTGGCTTATTAGAACCAGACTGCAATTATCTTGTGTTCTGTTTTTGTTTTCTTTTCCTTTTTTCCTTATTAAAAAAAAAAGGCAAAATATAATACGTTTTAAAATAAATCTCTCAGTAACATGCAGTCTCACACCAGCTCCTTTGGAGACAGGAGCACAGACCTGACAAGTCTCTCACATTTGCACTGATGCTCTCGTATTGGCTTTTTCCCTCTTGCTCTCCCCACTGCAGTTTCTGCATCACATATTGATAAGGTGGAGCGGTGGCCTCTGCTCCATCTCCCTGCAGCCTGGAGGGCTGTGTGTTTGGCCCTGTCCTTGTGTCTGTCTGACTTGCTGTGCCGTGGGATGAGGTGAGGGATGTAGTGCTGCCCCCGGATAACCAAATGGCTTTTTGTGCCCCTCTGAGCTTCTCTTTGAAGGCACTTTTCTTGGTTACAGTCTCTGC